CATTTTACAGCTGTGATATCTCCTGCTTTCAACGGTGTCAGCAACCATGAACAATGTTCTTGACGAGGCAACACGTGAGATTTGAGCAGTGGGACCACTGGCGTTATTTCAGCAGTGGAACCACTGGCGTTACTCCTCTCGTTTTGAAATTTTCATTATGTACAGTATCCTGACATTTTTTATTTATTTTTTGCTTTCATGACAAAAACAGTCCAAATGACAGGTCATTTAACTTCATTATACCAAAGTCTGTGATGTATTCGTGTCGTTCCAAGAGATGGTTCTCCTGTTGGTTCTCCTGTTGGTTTCTCGTATTCAGTGATCTTTTCGAGTTCTCGATTCTTTCTATATCTAGGGAGTTAGAATTTATCACCACTGAACATCACGCTATTTCCTACTACCCACTGAAGGCATTGTTGACATCTGCTTGCATTTTTCTCCGTCCATGCTTATTTTGGTATCGTCCACAAAGAATGATACTAAGTTGGTGTTTTTATCCATGTCTGCTGTGAGGATGAACGGTAAATGCGCCAGGATCGCGCCTTGACCTACTCAACCTTCTATGCTAATTCTAGATTATGCTTTGTCAACTACTTCTCTATGTGTTTTATTCGTTATAATGTTAAATATTCACTTTCTAATTTTCTTGTTATTCCTATTGACAATTGTCTGGGCTGTCACCCCAGGATCACATTTACCAAGTGTCTTAGCGAGATCTACGTTTTAGTTTTCTTCCAAAGCCTCTGTAATTTTGTAACGATCTAGTACTTGTGACAAGCATAACCTTCCCAATTTATATCAGTACTAATTTGATTACGTAGGCTATGTATTCCCAGGAAATTATTACTTTGACATTTCTCCATCCTTTCAGATATTTATGATGTGTGATGCTAGTGCATCTGGTTGGTATTTTCTTGCAAGATTTCTGTTGTGTCCATCGTGCAGAGGAGCAATGTATGCACTTTTTAAAACCTTAGATCAAAACTTTTCTCCAAAGAATACCGAGTGCTCACAATAGTAATAGTTTGCATTTCATAAAGAATTCCGTGAATAAGGTCCAGTTGCTGCTGCCTGTGTCAGCATCTTCTCTATGTCCTTTTAGAATTCTGAGGAATGTGTGTTTATGTAAGATACATTGTTGGTAGGATGGGCTGAGGTAATGAAAAAAACGCTCGGGATCCTCAACTCTCCCGTTGTGTAGTGGATTAATGTGTACTGATTCACACTGTTCTCTGAAGATTTAACTTATCTGGTCCTGGGTGTATGAACCTGCTGAGAACTGGGCCACTTCTGAAGGTGGTTTTTACACATGTCCAAAAATATTTAGAATTTTCAGCAATTTCCTGAACGAGCTTGTGTTCCTTTTGTTTTTCTTCCTTCTGGTACCTGGAGTCTACCTACCTGGAGGTTATTCCGGGGATCAACGCCCCCGTGGCCCGGTTCACGACCAGGCCTCCTGGTGAAACAGGGCCTGATCAACCAGGCTGTTACTGCTCGTCGCACGTAGTCCAACGTACACTTTTTGTTCTATATTCGTAATGTTTCGGTAAAGATTATCTTACCTTTTCTGTAACATTCTCGTTTTTAAGCAATTCAATAACCATTAATTTCCCTGAACATTCTTTTACGTTTTCCTTTACACGGACCTTTAGTGCCTCTGACTTGAGGTTTTCCCTGCACTTGTATTAGTCAAGTTTACTTGACACTCACCACCAGTGTCTCATACTTGTTTATTTTCTCTCAGTTAACTCTCAGTGTACTGAACATCCTCTCACGTTGACTGTTTCCTAGCTTCTCCACGCATGCATTTTTATATTCAATGTGGTTGCGATCACAGTATATTGTATGTGTTATTATTATTATGTCCCTGATTACTTCTTTATTATTCGTGAAGATTAAGTCTGGTGTATTTTAAAAAATCACGTAAGGGGGGGAGGGGCTCTTGAACCCACAAGAGGTGAGTTCTATTACGATTTCGTGAGTCTATTGTATTTTTATTTCTAGTAGATTGTGTTATCTGTTAGTTAAGAGCAATCTTTTCACATAGTCTCATCAGCTCTTTGGTGTGTGTACTCACCTAGTTGAGGTTGCAGGGGTCGAGTGTGTGTGTGTGTGTGTGTGTGTGTGTGTGTGTGTGTGTGTGGTGTGTGTGTGTGTGTGTTTGTGTTTACCATCTTCCATGTAACTTTTGAAAGGCTGAAATATCCAGAGATGATAATATTTGGAGTATAATTTTCCAGGTTGTGAGGGCAGCTGTCTGTCTTGCTTATCCGTTCCTTCAGTAAATTACTCTGCCGTTGTTGATGGTAGTTTACATGCAAGGTTAATTAACACTGCTGAACAAGAAAACCAGTATCTTATATATATATATAGTGCTACTGCTCTCTCTGACTTATTTACTCTCTCTCTCTCTCTCTCTCTCTCATCAATATGCATTGGTGGTTTAGCGCTTGTACCTCAGTGTTCACAACATCCCTGGTCTAGGTTTCTGTGAGCGCTTCAAACACTGCCTTTGCCTCCATGAGGAGCTCACTTATGTAGTTAACTTTGTTATTTTTGTTTATTAACTCTGGATGTTAGCAAAATACCTGCAAGCTTTCTCAAATTATTATTATATAATAATAAAAAGCGCTAAACCTACAAGGGTCAAAAGCTTTCTAAAAATCTCTGCTTGAAAATACCAGCAGTATTACCAGTAGTCTCTAGCAAGAGTCTCTTTACCTGCCACAGAACACTTGTTTCACACTTCTTAACCCACATTTGTAGATCCCCTTAACACAGTACTTACAGATTCAACTTTTTTACTATTTTCTGAGGAAATGTACCTAATTATTTATTTTTTTGTATCTGGGGGAGACGACCTTAGCCGGAGTTTGAAATACACAGCCACTCTCTTACAGTGTAGCGTCGGCTAGGTGCCCAGACTTATCTGGGGTCTGGCGTCGTGGATAAAGTACTGTGTACTCTGATGCAGAGTTTGCAGGTTCGAGTCCTGCTGTGGACGTAGAGATAATGTTTGTCAATAATTTCGCACTGTTTTCGATATTGTTTAGGATAATATATATATTATTTTATATTTTATATATATCTATAATTTACATATATATTAAAATTTATATATAGCATTTATGGTTAAACGTGCGGTTATATTGCTAGTCTAGTTTAGACGGGCTGTGTATGTGCTAGTCTAGCTAACTTCCTTTAGCTCTAATCAGGTTGAGACCACATTGTCTTGAGACCACGTAGTTGAGACCACAGTAGTCTGAGACACAGTGTTTGAGACACAGTAGTCCTGAGACCACAGTAGTCCTGAGACCACAGTATTCATTGAACCACGTAGTCCTGAGACACAGTAGTCCTGAGACACATAGTCTTGAGACCACAGTAGTCTGAAACACAGTATGTCTGAGACACGTAGCTCTGATACCAGTAGTCTGAGACCCTTTAGTCTTGAGACACAGTAGTCTGAGACCACAGTAGTCTTGAGACCACAGTAGTCCTGAGACCACAGTAGTCTTGAGACCACAGTAGTCTGAGACCACAGTAGTCTTGAGACCACAGTAGTCCTGAGACCACAGTAGTCTTGAGACCACAGTAGTCCTGAGACCACAGTAGTCTTGAGACCACTCAATTCGGACTATCCACTTTACTGAATATGGTTTTGTCTTAGTCACAAGAAGCCAAATCCAGTGGTCATACAGCTGGTCAGTGAGGTCTTGACGCCAGGCGGGTGTGGTCTTGACGACCAGGTTGGTGGTCTTGAGCCAGTCTGGTGTGGTCTTGACGACCAGGTTGGTGTGGTCTGACGACCAGGTCTGGTATGATCTTGATGACAGGTCTGTTGTCTTGAAAACCAGTGTCTGGCCAGTGATCTTGACGACCAGCTGTGTGGTCTTGACGACCAGGTCTGTGTGGTCTTGACGACCACAGGTCTGTATGATCTTGAGAACCCAGGTCTAGTGTGGTCTTGACGACCAGGTTGTGTGATCTTGACGACCAGTTGTGTGTCTGACACCAGGTCTGGTGTGTCTTGAGACCAGGTCTGGTAGTCTTGATGAACAGGTCTAGTGTGTCTTGACGACCAGTCTGGTATGGTCCTGACGACCAGTCTGGTGATCTTGACGAACAGGTTGGTTGGTCTTGACGACCAGTTGGTAGTCTTGACGACCAGTCTGTGTGGTCTTGACGACCAGTCTGTATGGTCTTGACGACCATCTGTGTGATCTTGACGAACCACGTCGGTTGGTCTTGACGACCAGGTCTGTATGATCTGACGACAGGTTGTGTGGTCTTGACGACCAGGTCTGGTATGGTCTTGACGACCAGGCCTGGTGTGGTCTTGACGACCAGGTCTGGTGTGGTCTTGATGACCAGGCCTGGTGTGGTCTTAGCGAGTAAGACCGAGGTGTGCCTCAAGTACACACAGTCTCTCCTGTTAGCAAATCCTTGTAAGGAACACAACAGCTCCTCAAAAGGAAGATTGACGGTTGTATGGAAAAATTTGCATCACCAAGAATGGAAAATAGCAAAAAATATCACGAAAAACATATAAACGAAATATACAACCTTTATTTAATATATATATATATATATATATATATATATATATATATATATATATATATATATATATATATATAATATATAAGGTAGATACTTAAAATATGCAATACACAAGGGTAGAAATGTCAACATTTTCTGTGATGAAGGGCAGAGAGGCGTACACAAGGTCTCACGTTTGATACATCATTATTTTCTTACAACTTAAAATATCTAAAATAATGTTGATAATATTATATTTACGTTCATGTTTGCTTATCACTAGGAATTATTTCTTGACGTGTTTCTTTCTGATTCAACAATACAAAGCTGACATGCAACACACACTGGCTAATTTACTGTAGATTTCAGTAATGGACATTTTTATTATTGTCGTGAAATGGCATTAAAGTTAGAATTTAAAATATGTTATGGACTTTGGAGTGACTGTGTGGACTTACCTTGGTTAACAGCTCACTCAGGTAATCCAAGGTTAACTACCAATCTCACTTATCCAAGGTTAATTACCAATCTCACTTATCCAAAGGTAATTACCAATCTCACTTACACAGCACTCAGTGCAATATTTTAAATCGTAAATATGTTTTTTTTCAATAATTGCTCCTCGGAGAATTTTAAAACACTTACAATACGTGACTTAAATAGCCACGTAACATTAACCCAAATTTTGCCTGACAAGATTGACTCCTTCTTTCACTGGCTTATCACAAGGCGTTTTCTTTTTGCACAAACACCGAAGGCTCCTCCAGTCTCCTTGGGGAACGCCACTTTTGTCAAAAAAGGAGTCTGTTTGGAGAGGTGTATTAGGTGTTGTTGTTGGGAGCGTGGCGTTAGAACACCCTCCCTCAAGACTCTCTCTTCATCTCTGAGGCGAAACTTGTTTCCACCCAAGACCTCTGCTTCACTTCTTAGCCTCAGGGCCTGGCTGGGCCGCAGAAACCCACCGCATACTTCACGCTCTCTGACTTCGCCCATACGCCCTTCGTTTAAACTTTCCGAACACTTCCCTTCGTATCCTTCACTGCACAACGAAGTAGCGATGAAAACAGATAAAGAACTTTGAGGGTAATCCGTGCGTTAGGATACAGTAGGGAGATGTGACTAGTAAACCTGCCAAACAGTTACACCTGGAGCAGACAAACATAGCGGAGGGGGAAATGGAGGTAATCTGGCTAGCACAGGTACGCTCAGGATCATAGCAGTGGGGGAATATGGACTCGCTAATTAAAATATCTTCAGGTGTAGAGCGTCTTAATGAGAGATAGTGATGTATAACGTTACTTTGTGAACGTTGGGGCCGTCTAGTATTTACATCCATAGGAACCTCGCTCATATTACAACTTAAAAGAAATGAAGAAATTTCTACGGGTTTAGAGCTTCCTCATGAATAATAATAATAATAATAATAATAATAATAATAATAATAATAATAATAATAATAAATACTACTACTACTACTACTAATAATAATAATAATAATAATAAATACTACTACTACTACTACTAATAATAATAATTTTATAATTACTATAATATTCATATAGTAATAATAATAATAATAATAATAATAAAGATAATTAATAATAATAAAAACTAGTAGTAATAATAACGCAGCTCTTAATAAAACGAGACCAAAAATTCTCATCAAAATCATTATAATTTTGTGTTCAGAAATAGATTCTTTGCGTTCACTTAAATATTATTAAGTTTTCATTAAATTTTACTAAGTTACGAGACCAAAACTCTGGAAAAAACTGGAGTCAGGAATCCAGATTATTGTCTCGTTTCAAAACTTTTCTCAATTTTAATAAAAAAAATATATCTTTTTTCGAGCGAATTTATATAATGAACAGCGGTACCCTTGGTATATTTAATAAATAATTTAGACATATATATATATATATATATATATATATATATATATATATATATATATATATATATATATATATATATAATATTTTATATATATATATATATATATATATATATATATATCTGTGTGTGAGTGTGTAGTGCCGAATAAGTAAAATTTGTCATTTTGGCTTAAATAGCAACGCTCTTCCTGCCGAATAAGGCAAGCGAAAATTTGTGTATGCAGCAATTTAGCAAAAATCATTCTGAAGCTAACGAAAAAAAAAATTTATATCTCCTGAGATGTAAGTTCACCATCCCTTATACATATGTTCCTCACCCCTGAGACACAAGTTCATCACCCCTGAGACACAAGTTCATCACCCCTGAGACACAAGTTCATCACCCCTGAGACACAAGTTCATCACCCCTGAGACACACGTTCATCACCCCTGAGACACAAGTTCCTCACCCCTGAGACACAAGTTCATCACCCCTGAGACACAAGTTCATCACCCCTGAGACACAAGTTTATCACCCCTGAGAAATAAGTTCATCACCCCTGAGACACAAGTTCATCACCCCTGAGAAATAAGTTCATCACCCCTGAGATACAAGTTCATCACCCCTGAGAAATAAGTTCATCACCCCTGAGATACAAGATCATCACCCCTCAGACACAAGTTCATCACCGCTGAGACACAAGTTCATCACCCATGAGACACAAGTTCATCACCCATGAGACACAAGTTCATCACCCATGAGACACAAGTTCATCACCCCTGAGACACACGTTCATCACCCCTGAGACACAAGTTCATTACCCCTGAGACACAAGAACATCACCCCTGAGACACAAGATCATCACCCCTGAGACACAAGTTCATCACCCCTGAGACACAAGTTCATCACCCCCTGAGACACAAGATCACCCCTGAGACACAAGTTCATCACCCATGAGACACAAGTTCATCACCAATGAGACACAAGTTCATCACCCATGAGACACAAGTTCATCACCCATGAGACACAAGTTCATCACCCATGAGACACAAGTTCATCACCCCTGAGACACAAGTTCATCACCCCTGAGACACAAGTTCATCACCAATGAGACACAAGTTCATCACCCATGAGACACAAGTTCATCACCCATGAGACACAAGTTCATCACCCATGAGACACAAGTTCATCACCCTTGAGACAGAAGTTCATCACCCCTGAGACACAAGTTCATCACCCCTGAGACACAAGATCATCACCCCTGAGACACAAGATCATCACCCCTGAGACACAAGTTCATCACCCCTGAGACACAAGTTCATCACCCCTGAGACACAAGATTATCACCCCTGAGACACCAGATCATCACCTCTGAAACACAAGATCATCACCCCTGAGACACAAGTTCATGACCCCTGAGACACAAGATCATCACCCCTGAGACACCAGATCATCACCTCTGAAACACAAGATCATCACCCTGAGACACAAGTTCATCACCCCTGAGACACAAGTTCATCACCCCTGAGACACAAGATTATCACCCCTGAGACACAAGATCATCACCCCTGAGACACAAGATCAACACCCCTGTGATACAAGATCATCACCCCTGAGACACAAGTTCATCACCCCTCAGAGACAAATTCATCACCCATGCGAGACAAGATCATCACCCCTGAGACACAAGATCATCACCCCTGAGACACAAGATCATCACCCCTGAGATACAAGATCATCACCCCTGAGATACAAGTTCATCACCCCTCAGACACAAGTTCATCACACATGAGACACAAGTTCATCACCCATGAGACACAAGTTCATCACCCCTGAGACACACGTTCATCACCCCTGAGACACAAGTTCATCACCCCTGAGACACAAGATCATCACCCCTGAGACACAAGATCATCACCCCTGAGACACAAGTTCATCACCCATGAGACACAAGTTCATCACCCCTGAGACACAAGTTCATCACCCCTGAGACACAAGTTCATCACCAATGAGACACAAGTTCATCACCCATGAGACACAAGTTCATCACCCATGAGACACAAGTTCATCACCCATGAGACACAAGTTCATCACCCTTGAGACAGAAGTTCATCACCCCTGAGACACAAGTTCATCACCCCTGAGACACAAGATCATCACCCCTGAGACACAAGATCATCACCCCTGAGACACAAGTTCATCACCCCTGAGACACAAGTTCATCACCCCTGAGACACAAGTTCATCACCCCTGAGACACAAGTTCATCACCCCTGAGACACAAGTTCATCACCCATGAGACACAAGTTCATCACCCCTGAGACACACGTTCATCACCCCTGAGACACAAGTTCATCACCCCTGAGACACAAGATCATCACCCCTGAGACACAAGATCATCACCCCTGAGACACAAGTTCATCACCCATGAGACACAAGTTCATCACCCCTGAGACACAAGTTCATCACCCCTGAGACAAAAGATCATCACCCATGAGACACAAGTTCATCACCCATGAGACACAAGTTCATCACCCATGAGACACAAGTTCATCACCCATGAGACACAAGTTCATCACCCTTGAGACAGAAGTTCATCACCCCTGAGACACAAGTTCATCACCCTGAGACACAAGATCATCACCCTGAGACACAAGATCATCACCCTGAGACACAAGTTCATCACCCTGAGACACAAGTTCATCACCCCTGAGACACAAGATTATCACCCCTGAGACACCAGATCATCACCTCTGAAACACAAGATCATCACCCCTGAGACACAAGTTCATCACCCCTGAGACACAAGATCATCACCCCTGAGACACCAGATCATCACCTCTGAAACACAAGATCATCACCCCTGAGACACAAGTTCATCACCCCTGAGACACAAGTTCATCACCCCTGAGACACAAGTTCATCACCCCTGAGACACAAGTTCATCACCCCTGAGACACAAGATCATCACCCCTGAGACACAAGATCATCACCCTTGAGACACCAGATCATCACCCCTGAGACACAAGATCTCACCCTGAGACACAGATCATCACCTCTGAACACAAGATCATCCCCCCTGAGACACAAGTTCATCACCCCTGAGACACAAGATCAACACCCCTGCGAGACAAGATCATGACCCCTGAGACACACGATCATCACCCCGGAGAGACAAGTTCATCACCCCTGAGATACAAGTTCATCACCCCTGAGATACAAGTTCATCACCCATGAGATACAAGTTCATCACCCCTGAGATACAAGATTATCACCCCTGAGACACAAGTTCTTCACCCCTGAGATACAAGTTCATCACCCCTGAGATACAAGTTCATCACCCATGAGATACAAGTTCATCACCCCTGAGACACAAGTTCTTCACCCCTGAGATACAAGATTATCACCTCTGAGACACAAGTTCATCACCCATGAGATACAAGATTATCACCCCTGAGACACAAGTTCATCACCCCTGAGATACAAGATTGTCACCCCTGAGACACAAGTTCATCACCCCTGAGACACAAGTTCTTCACCCCTGAGACACAAGTTCATCACCCCTGAGAAACAAGTTTAGGTGAAACTCAATATTGTCAGTAATACGATGGTAACTTGAGATAACTTAGGGTCATTCCCAGCTAAACTTGAAAACAAAGTTGTTGTGGTAGGCGAGGTGTCGCGAGGTCATCCACACACACACATACACACACACACACACACACACACACACACACACACACACACAGATGATGTGAAGTTAATGAGAAGAATTAAATCAGATGAGGATCAGGCAGGACTTCAAAGAGACCTGGACAGGTTGGACACGTGGTCCAGCAACTGGCTTCTTGAATTCAACCCCGCCAAATGCAAAGTCATGAAGATCGGAGAAGGGCAAAGAAGACCGCAGACAGAGTATAGACTAGGTGGCCAAGTACTGCAAACCTCGCTCAAGGAGAAAGATCTTGGGGTGACCATAACACCGAGTATGTCTCCGGAGGCACACATCAACCAGATAGCTGCTGCAGCGT